ATATATATATATATATATATATATATATATGTATATGTATATATACATATATATACAAGCAAAATAGAATTATATTATATTTATACAACAAAAGTAGGCAGGAAATTTATATATGCAGAAGTTCAAGGTGCAATGCATGTGCCCAGGAATCTTATTACATCTATTGGGTAACTCATACTTTTAACAGATTTCAGGTAGATGGTGATCAGATAAGGACGAAAAAATTGATACTGAAGCAAACAGGAACATTTTTGAAAACAGTTCCAAGATGGATGTCACGTTTGACTAACGTCAGGGTATGGTAAATTATTAGTTCCATTCAACTGCAAATTTTTGAAAGTTGTAGTCGAATTTCAAATAATTTTTTATCAAGTCAAATTTCAAATAATTGTTTAAAAATAAATCCGTGGGAGCAAAATTTTGATTCATTTAAAGATATTTTCTTTACACGATCTTTACAGGTAGTTCCAACAATTGAGGAAAGCATATTCGACCGAGGCAGGAGGACATTAGTGACTTACACTAGAAATATCACGATGTTATCCATCTGTAAAATTCATGAACGCTGTATTTACAAACCGGTACTTTTTCCATTTTATGTTGCCTCAGGATTTTATTTAGTTCATTTTTCATATTAATTCATTATGACAGTTATAGATGGTTGCTAGCTGGCATTTTCAAACATACTCGAGTTTATATGGAATTCAATTCTCCTCTTTAGCCATTTCCCTAATACCGCCTGGAACCTAATGAATTTTGAAATTAGTCAAGAAGCATCTCAAAGGGCAGGAATTTTCGAACGATTGTCTTAAAATAATAACAGGAATTGGTTTGTGCTTCTTGATTAGAAGCGAAAGACAGTAATATTTGTAAAACAGTTTATATTTAACAGTTTAACCGGTATATGAGCTTATCAAAAGAATGTTTGAAAATTTTTGTCAAAAGAATTTCAAAAACGGCATGCCGGAAACGATTGTGGAACGTGGTGGTTTAGTGTCGACTTCATTTGGAAAGCTGAATTCAGTAATTGAGCATATTTTAATGGCAAATTTCAAAAAGAATATGAAGAAAACAGTAATCGTCTATACGGAAAAATTGACGAAAAGGTTGCTTGTCATCTTTTTTTGGTCTTTTAAATGGTTGTAATTTATTTCGGGAATACCCGAGTTTCTTGAATACTTAATTTTGTACACTTTCTTATATGATGCATTAAAGCTTTCCCAACTAACTTTTCAGATATTACGCATTAAAATTAAGCCGAAAGTGAAATGATTTCATTTGACAGGTTTGGTGAACCAGCACTGGCCAACCATAGAACGAATGAGCCGTATCTTGTGAGGCAAAAGATTAGTCGTTGTAATTTTTCCACACAGGACTGATTTCTGTGACGGTGTTTCTTTCTTCATAATTCCAATCCCTCTTCATTGCCAATTACTGATATGATGTCTGTGACCTAGATTCAGTCGTACATTTTGTATATTTTATATTTTATTTAAATTTGATTCCACTTTTTTACTGTTATTCTTTTAATTTGTACAATGTCCCGTTAAATTTTTCAGTCCACTTTCAAAAATGATGAGAAAATTGAGTGTGAAGAATGTCGTGATATGGGTTTACAACCTTTGTCCTTCTGCTGAAAGTCCAAATTACTTCTCGCTATGTATTTTTGTTCCATGAAAATAAGTCATTTTTTATGTGGCTGTTCTTCCGCACCTTTGCCAGTTAAAAGATTTGCAGTGGTATCTGGTGACAATGTTGTTATCCCAGTAATTGTTTCGTTTTGTTCGTCTTTCAATTCGAAATTTTTTTTTAAATTTCGAATTTTCTTATAAGTGCACATCTTATTGTTATTAAAAATTTTCATTAAAAATTATTTATGCAAGATTTTTCTTATTACTATTAATTGGTTATTTCCAACCAACAAAGTGCATGTAGCAGAGGAAATATCTTTAGAACATATTTTTTATATATTATTGGTCATTTGTTTGAGAAATTTGACATTGCCATCTGGATATAATCCTGATAACACTGGAAGTATGTTACGAGGATTCATTTGACAAAAATTCGCTCAGGATGTAGATTAAGCGCTTCAAATCTTTTAATGCAAGCTGCTCAATAAATGAATTAAATGGAGTAATTAGAAGTCTGATGTCTTGATTTTTTTTTTTTTTTGAAGCACCATGTCCTGCGTTATCGGATAAGATGCAATGTTCATTTTATTTCTGTCACTTCATTTTTTTAATCCTTTTTTTAGTGGTGAACTAATTTCGTGAAATTGGACAGTTCTGAATACTAAAATTAATGGAAAATTAAGCTGGATTCAAGGGTAATTATAAAAGACAGAAGGCTGTCCATTTCGATGAATCCAACGAGTTTACCAATATTTCGTGGAATTTGTTTAATTGGTCTCATCTCACTCTTGCATTGTGCCTACTCGGCTGCACAGGTTTGTAACTTTCGCATTATCCAAAGGTAGTTTGAAATTGCTTAATTTGTCACTGCGTCGGACATTCAAAAAGGAAATAGAGCTTAGCACTTAAAAGCGTTGGATTGGTGACCATGTCTGCATTATTTCTCATTTAGCAATTTACATTGATCGTATTGAATTAGATTTAGATGTTATAGATGAAATCCTAGTCTAGAAATCAACGAAACTTCAGAATCATTCCTCTTTTAGTGTTCGGTAAAATGATCATGAAATCGAGTAAGCACTGTAAGTTAAATTTGCGATGTTCATTTAGGCATAATTAATTAAAGTTAACTCCTACTGTTATTCAAAACGACAATTTTCTCTAATTTTGATCAGCTAATTAGCACTAAAGGTGAAGTTCATTCTAGCCTTTCCAATTAACTGTTGGTTTGTTTGATATCTACATATTTCAATTTCAATTCTTAATGGATATTTCGAGCTAACGGTCATTTATTTAATTAATAATTTATATTGAATTATTTTGCCGGTTGGTATTCTAAGCATCTTCCAGAAAGTGATGAATGGCGAGGGTTTTTGCCTTACCATTAGATCACTTCATATAAATTAACTGCTGATGTTACCATCATTTCTTTATTTTTGAGCAATGGTTGTTGCAAAACTAAACATATAAAATTATAATCTCGGATCTTTTAAGTTTTTCTGATGAAGACTGTTTGTAATATTTATGAAATCTTTTATAGCATCGATTTTATTTGCGACTGACGGAACAACGGTTCACGCAACTACCTCTTGATATAACCATACAAACAGTTGTGAGCTTAATTGCTTTCATTTACAGTGCTACTTATATTGCTGGAGAATTTCAACCAATTCGTTCTGATTTACAGGTTCGTCATTGTTATTATTAAATTCACCTCGGTAACTTGTACCTATTGGTTTCTTTAATGACACGTTTTTTGGAAAATTTTGAATATTTCACTTTCCATGTTGGATATCAAAAGAAGTAAGGTTCTTACTTTCCCTCAAAGACAGACCGCAACATACAAAGCTAAATGAAAATACCATATGGTTGATCTGGAAATCGTCTAAACTAGAATTTGGAAGTTGTTAAAAAAATTTACATGCGATGAGATCGATTTCAGTACCTTTGATGAGTTTTTAGAAAATTTTGTGATGTTATGGTCATCATATGACCTTAAGTGATTAAAAGACTGTTCTTTTTTAAGATGACTAAATTTTATATTTAAGGCTATCATGATAGTCATACTATAATAGGGAAAGAAGAAATGAATCTCTTAGAAGTGTTAATGAATTTTTGATGGTGACGAATAAAAGGTAGCAAGAACTAGGTAAGTGACTCCTTATATTTTTTTCGAAATCGTTAATGCTTGGTGGTTCTAGAATCGTACAAAATCATGGGATACTGTTGGAAACTGCCCATCGTTTTATACCTTCGATCATCGTGCGAAAACTCTCTCACCGTCATGCAGCGATTCACGCCAGCAGTACTGCGATTCTTCACCGGTTCTTTTTTGGAATTTCCATTTTTGTTTTAAAACCTTATTTTTATTTAGCTCAAAAGTATGATTTTTAGCTTCAGTATTGTCTTCTTCGGAGATTAAGGAGGTTACGACATGCTCATATCAGAAATTTAGGAAAATGTCTAGGAAGCTAATTAATCTGCTTACAACAGAATTTTCTCTCATCTTTCTGTTTTTGGAATGATATTACGTACATTAAGCTAGAAGATTGGAAAAGTAGGATAGTTTCAATTCTCAATAGACTACTTTCTGTATCGCTACGATGACTAGGATTCCGAACACAAAAAATATAAGTTGCCATATTTTTCTTTTTCATTATTTCACCTACACTTTCTTTTACCAAATTTGTGTAACTCTTCTTTATAGGGTCCATCCTCATCAGCTATCCAAGATGGCGAACTTTTTCGTTGCGACTGTTGATCATCAAATATTCGACATTATTTTTTCCGTTTTTCTCAGTTCTTTCATTTATGTCTCATCAGGTATGCTAATAGAATTCCTAATTCTCTAGGTTAAAAAAGGAAATTTTCTAACTTTGAAAAATTTTGACGCGAAAATCATATTTTCATGCGCCGTTATTTAGATCATAATTACTTCATCCGAACAAAAAACGGCGTCATTTCCAGCCGCCATCTACATCGGTAATGGAAATGATTTGTGTGGAAAGTCTCCAATAAAAAACGGAAGATCATCACAGCGATGTCCGCAATTAAAACCTCCTTCCAAAAAAGTAACGAATTTGTTAGTCTCAGGGATATTTTAAGCTTATTTTTCGTTATTCTGGAAAGAAATTTACTTGCAGCAGTAAATGTTTATCATGTATAGGAATAGGTAATGAATAGTTCTTGCGTAATATAGTTTTTAATTCATTGTGAATTTTTAGAATCTGTAACATTCTTGTTAATGTTCCCAATATTTGACTTAAACGATCCTTTATTTGTGCAGTCAGTGTTGCTGTGTTTGTGTTTCAGTTTGTTCTGACATCTCAGTCTAATTAGTGTAGGAAAGGAAAAGAACACTGATCAAATTAGCAGTTAATGTTTTCACTTCGTGCTTCCAGGTAATAAACGAAGCCCTTCATCAATGTTTACAAATAACTCGTGAGCGAGATTATACAAATTATGTTGCCGGATTGGTGATGCCATCGAAAATTCAACCTGCTTTGTTCACCGTAAATTTCTTATTTCTTTGTGCTTTTGTTGTAGATGATCTAATGAAATTAAAAGCGAATTTTTGTGAAATCTTGTGAAACTGTCAGTTCTGATGTTTATTTCCAGCTGCTGGCTTTTAACGCAGAATTAGCCGTTATCCGAGATCAAGTTGTTCGTAATTCGGGAATTTCCGGAATATATCGTTTGCAATTTTGGAGGGATACTTTAGATGTTTTATATGGTCAAACGAAAGGACCACTACCTCGGTAATTTGCTGTTTTTTTCTGAGCTTCAAATCCTAATGTGTATTTTCAGAAAATACATATTAGAATTTTTAGTTTTCTTGATAATTATATAAGACAAGCCGGCAAATTTTCAGACAGCCGGTTGCGATAGCTTTAAGTCTCTTTGGACATCGTTTTGATGAGCATTTACTGAGAAATTTGATCACTGCAAGGCAAAAAACTTTGGGTGATCGTCCGTTCGAATCTCTTGACGATGTCAAAAAATATGGCATCGAAACTACAGGCTCCATAACTCAGCTAGTAATGCATCTACTTTCTGGCGCTCATGAGGCTAATGAGATACCGCTTTCTGAAGAAGCAATCCAAGCAATCGAATCAATGTCACATGCTGTTTCAGTTATTACTTTGATCAGGTATATATTTTCAATGAAAATCCTGGCTCGAAATTTTGATTCTTTAAAACTTTCTGGATAATTTAAAAAAATTTTTCTTGAATTAGATCGATGATGCCGTTATTGGCAAGAGGGATCTTCCTCCTTCCCAATGATCTGATGGAAAAGTATCAGTTGAGTGCAGATGATATATTCTGGAATAAAAAGCAGAATGCACTGCGTGATTTAGCCAAGGAGCTTACTAATGTTAGTCTCTTGAAATTTCGTAAATTAGACTTCTGAAGACATGATTCTTGGATTCATTACAGAAAAACATGTAATCTTTTATGAAGCATGAAGCGTTTTTCAGTGTAGCTTTAGTAATGTTACAAATAGGAGTCCTATTAATTCTGGCTCATGCCGAACTTTTCAAAACTTTTCCAGTGAGTGAGAGTACTCCTTTATTGACACTGTTAAGTTTTCTTGAAGAATTGGCACTTAATTAATCGTTAATTCATTGTCTCAAGACCCCTCAACTGGTTTTATTTTACGGGCATTTTTTGACAGTTTGAATTTGAAGATAGCAGAGGAAGAACTTCTGAAAAGTCGACAGTATCGTGAAAGTATCGAACCAAACTTACGACTGGCACTTATGGCAAGCGGTGCAACGTTGGATCATTTGGTGAAAACGCTTCATGAAAGCAACTATAATCTATTGAATACACGACTTCAGCGTGGATACGATCTTCTTGCATGGCGCTTTTGGTGGCGTAAGTTTCTCGGTCGATACTGACGCTGAAGTTGGGAGAAATAAGAAAGACTTCATCCAATGCAGATGGATGGTGCTCGAGCTCAACTACATTAGATATACTTCGTTTCTTCATTTCCAAAATTTCCACTATATCATTCTATTGCTTAGTTACTCAAATATAGTGTTTTCCTTTCGTGCTGTATTTTTACTACTGTTATTTATTTTTCGTATTCTTGAAAATTCCTTGAATTCATTTTAAAGATCAATAGTTTTGAAAGTTATTGTATTATTCAAGCTTTTTTCGTTGAAAACAGGTCGCTGTTCTTACATTTATTAGGAGGAGCAGATTACTTGTATTGACAATTGTGATTTTTTTTTTCTCGGGGACACACTGTGTATTTTATCGTAATCACTAGCACGGTTGTTTGCTATTTTATAAGATTATAAAATTTGCAGTAAATTTTATCCCACATGTTGAGGTAGAAGATGCTACTTCATAATTTTCAATTTTCAATTGAAAAATTAGCTAGACCGAAATCACCTTGTAATTTGAGCATTTCGTATTTCTTTATGGTGAAATTTCCTAGTCTACTTTTCCTTTCACCTTCGTGGAATTTTTTTGTTTGTGCAGGAGATGAGAATGAGGCAAAAATTAAAAAGATGAAAAATAATTAAAAGGATGAAATAATCTTCTAAAAAGTGAAAATTTTAGTAATAATAAACATTTCCAATTTTTTCATTTTTTCAATCTCTATTTTCATACATTTTCAATCTTTTCCATTCATTGCAGGATGATGATGCGAAAGCATAGTTTTTTGATCATATTTTTTTCTTTATGTTAATTTTATAAACAAATTTTACAAATGGAAATTTGAAATCTCCCTTACATTACTTGTACGTTAAACAAAAAATAAAAAAGACGATGACTAATATGAATGGTAAAACGGTAACGTATATACATATATATATGCGTCTACATTCTCGGGATTAAATTAGTTTTAGCTAAGTTATTAGTGTAAGCTTCAGTGAAATAGTGAATTTTATAAAATAGAAAATTTTTGTTGTTGTCAATAATAGTGAGAGATATTATTTGTTAGTATCTGTCAATAACAATCAATGTTAACAATTTAGTCATATGAGATGAAATTAAAATTGAAATTGGTCATACGACTATAATCAATAGCATGATGAGCGATGAGAAAAGAGCTTGTGATCCTTGTTGAGATGTTATCGGTTCCTTCCGGAGTTGATTTGTTTTGATTGAAAATCAAAATTTTTTCCTTCATGATAATATCAAATAATTTATCATTGAATTTTTCAAAAATTGAAAACAAATGCTTGCAGAAATGAATAATTTGCCGGAAGTAATTTGCATATTTTAAATTAAATTTTAACATTTGACAGGATAGTGATGAACTTACATAAGGTATGCTATGCTAATTTTTTTTTAGCAATTTTAACTGATTCATGGAATAAAATTACAAGAAATAAAAATGATAGAAAGATGTATTAGAGTAAGATATGAATGTAGCAGAAATTTTAAGGAAGTTAACAAAGTGTAACTAGCATAACAGTGGTTGACTGTAATTATACATGTTATTAATAATACAAAACGAGAAAATATACTTTATACTTTTATTAAATAAAATTATTTTTAGCAATTTGCTTTAAACAAATATGACAAATTAAATCGATGAATATTTATTGATATTTTATTCGTATGAAATAAATTTTGTGATTCATCGACAAATAATTTCTTGCACAATTATTAAATGCATTCATTTTCTGATAAAAATTAAAATTTATTACTTAGAAGTTTCACTTTTTTTTTTCACAGCAAAAAAAAAAAGTAAATTGCGGAAATTAGAATTAATCTTTCATAAATCTTATTTTCCTGCAGAAATAAAAACTTAGGTAATCAAAATTAGGCTAATTATTATAAAGATGAAAATTTTAAAGGCCAAAAAGTTGCAATATGCTTTAATTATTGTGTAAAAATTTCTTATTTTTTTGCATCATAATTTGCATACTCTCAAGCTCTTCTACTTTTTTTTTTTTGTTTTTAAATTTAAAAATTGCTATTATGTAGAAAGTACAGTATAGGTAATTAATTATTGCATGCTTTATTTATGATATTAAAAAAATACATGAAATAGAATGTTTTTATAAGTTTTCAACAGTTCAACAAATGAAATTGGATACAATATAAGGCAATTGGAATTTAAACTTTTACACAATTTATTTTCTTCAAAAATTTGCATATATATTCACATGTTGCAATAAGTTATTTAATTTTAAGGGCAAAAAATTTATTTCAAGTTAAAATGATTTGTGAAATTTAGTAAACTGTTTGAAAGAGATAAACTGTCTGCAATACAATAAGAATTTATGAATAATTGTTGGAATTTATTACCATTTTAAGATTTTATTTTGCTAGCAATTCATTCGATATACGATAATATATTCCAATAAACATTGATAATATTAATTGATAGATTCTATTCCATTCCATTATTCTATTCTATTCTATTCCATCCTACTCTATTCTATTCCATTCTGTTCTATTCTGTTTTATTCCATTCTATTCTATTCTATCCCTTCCATTATTCTATTCTATTCTATTCTATTCTATTCTATTCTACTTTATTCTATTCTGTCCCATCCTATTCCATTCTACTCTATTCTGTTTTATTCTATTCTATTCTATTCTATTCCATCCTATTCCAACTTATTCTATCCATTCCAATTTTTTCCATCAAATATAAGGCTGCATTCTCAATTAATTTCATTTTAATTTATATTTATTCAACATCTTATTTTGTTACATAATTTCCATTAGTAATAAACAATAATTTCAATATATTATCGTCCATTTTTTTTCTCTTTTTATTATTTATTGGAATTAATTATGATAATTAATTATGTTTTACAATCAATTATATTATTAACATCTCATGTTTCTATATCAGAATCAACACCAAATATAACCTGATCCTCTAACAATGTTTGGGTAGCAACCGTTGTTACCATTCGTTGTTCAATACCATTATTTAATAATAATCTATGTGGTGATGTTACAGTACTTTTACGCACCGAATAAGTTGGAATAGCACCACGACTATATATATTTGCAAGTGCATTACGAAGCTAAAAAAAAAAAAAAAGGATAACAAAAATTGTCAATATTTAAATTAAAAAAAAAAAAATCCCTTAGAAATAAATATTCATATTTAAATTGTTTAAAAATTTGTAAAAATTTTCTTTTATTTTATTTTTTTAAAGTGTAACTTACAAAAAGTTTTATATCTTTCTTTGAAAATCTATAAAAATTTCAAATTTTTTTTTAAAAAAACAATTTAGCAAACCTCTTTAATCGAAATTACACCCATAAGCTTTCCACGATTTGTAATGTAAGCATGATTAAGACCAAGTAATGAAAATAACGTATGTACCTGAAATAACAAGTCTTATCATTTATTATCAAATAATTATTAGTGATTTAACTTTTTGAACTTTAAATTTTCACTTTTATTATTTTTAATGATCTTTTTTCTTTTTTTTAAAGTAGTAAAATTCTCTGCAAAAATTATCAATTTTCAATTTTAATAGTAATTTTAAATGTTTCAATGAAATTAACAAAGCTTTTTTATTTATATTGTTATAAAAATTTAATTTTGGGAAAGTTGTCACCCTTAATAAAGCCAAAATACTTGATCATTTAGTATCTGAGTTAAAAAAAAAAAAGGAAAACTGGAAATTTACATTGGTGTACTTACTCGATAGAGTGATGTACCGAGAACAAGTTGGAATGGTGCCGGATCGATGGCAATTTCATCTAAATGAATCGGATGTCGTAAAATGTATGCCCGTTGGCGTACACTTAAATTTGTCACCTAAAAATTGTAAATTTTTTGATAAATTACTAATTTATGCAATTAAAATATTTTAATAAAAAATATTGATAAATGATAATTTTATAAATTGATTAAAAACTGTTAATTTAATTTGCTTTTGATCACATAATCATATATTTTTACAAAGCATTTTTACCACTTTTCATCTCTTTTTTTCTCAACTTTATTAAAAATTCAAATTATTTCAATTTAAATTTGCCACCCATACATAGCGAATAATTAGAGTTTAACAGTGACCTCATCTTCTGAACTTTTGCGACTCTTTAACCTTTTAATTAATAACAAATAAAATGAATCATTTGACATTACTCGGTGTGGATAATTTCAAAGAAGTTGATTCACCATTGATTGATTGTCATTCAATTATACCTTATTTTTCCTTCTTTTTCCTTTTTTTTTGTTTTTTAATTATCAGGAATTATTTTAAATTAAATTTTTCTTCATCCTAAATTAAATCTTTGAATTATTTCATTAAGCTTATAATTAATTCGAATTGAAAGGAATGAATAATATATACGAAAAGTTACATGATGGTCAGCATCTGCTTGACGTTGAAGTAATGGTGCTAATGGACTATCTGTAAAATTGAAATAAAAATTAAAATTTTAATTCATCCAAAATAATATTTGATTTATTTCGAAAAAAAAAGAAAAGATAAAAGCGACAAATTTATTCGCAATTTTTTGCTATTAAAATAAACAATGATAATTATTGATGACATTTGATAACGTCTCATTTATTTGTTAAAACATTTTAATCTTTTTTATCATAAATTATCATTACTTACCTCCACCATGATCTTCATGTAATGGACTACTAGCAAGCAATGTATTACCACTTATATTTCGATCCGTTAATACATTATTAGCACTTAAACGAGAATTTCGTCGTATATGATTTAATAAATCAGAAGTGGTATTAATCCGTTTTCGATCAATCATTGAATCTGGGCCTAATTTTTCATACAATAAATAATTCAAATATTTTCGTGCTACTGAACCAAGTAAAATTTTTGTTCCTGAAATTGTATAATATTTCAAATATCTCTTTTAATTTAAATCATAAAATTATAGGAATTCATTAAAGAAATAACAAGCTAATAAGCAAAAATCATTTTAGTGGTTTATTTAAAATGATTCATTATCCAATTTGGTATATCAAAAATGTATTTAACTATTCTATCAAAAAAAAATAATTCATCGAATTTTTACTAGCATATTAAATTTAATAAACATAAAAGTGCAATTAATAATTCTCGTGAAGGATTGTCATTTAAAAATTATTTGATAATTTCAATTGAATAGAACAGAATGATATCAATTGATAAAAACTAACTGGAATCAGTGATCAGTGGATATGATCGTAAATGTGGTGATGCTAGCAAAAGTTCCCTGAGTTCACCATAAGTAGTAGATCTTGTTATACATAATACATTATGAATCATCACATTTTCAACTTTTAACTTATGAACACTAAAAAAATAAAAATTTAAACTTGATGAAAAATAAATTTTAATTTGAATTGACAAGAAAAAAAATACTAATGTATGTCAAATTTACACTGATAGTTTAATATTAACTGACATTTTGTTTTTTTCAAAATAGAATAGTCTCTTCTCTTCTTTAATTTAATTCTTCAAATACTCCAAAAGAAATTCATTAATATAGAATTATTTAAAATAATTAATAAACTATACCTCTACCATCTTGTCATCTTTTGATCATTCTGTGATAAAAGCTAACAATGGGATGTAGCATTTTATAATTATCATCCTAATTTCGGCGCCCGTTCATACTAAATTTTAAAATGAATTACCTAATTCGAGAAGGAGGTAAATCAGCTAAATGTGGCAAATTTTTGATTTCAATCATACTTTCATAAATTGATGGTTGTAGAAAACTACTTATTGCATTACCAATCATTAACGCAATCTGAAAAACATTTTCAAATTAAAATTTTCAATTATTTTCTAATATGATAGATGAATGAATTAATCAATAAATCAATTAATCATTCCATTTTTTTTTCAGATTTTATAAAAAAAAAGTTAATGAAAAAAGAAGTTAATAAAAAAGTTAATTAAACAAAAAATCCATCAGCTATTATTATTAATCATTATTATTATTATTGTTATTATTATTATTATTATTGTTGTTGTTATTATTATTATTATCATTATTATTATTGTTATTATTATTATTATTATTATTGTTATTATTATTATTATTATTATTATTATTATTATTATTATTA